GACGAGCTGTGATTAGTCGGGTCCGGGACGCACGCGAAGTGCGCGTGCGCATAGGCGCGGGCTATCTCAGATATTTCGCAAGTCAGAAATTTCGCGCTACACCTGTCTGAATCTGTGAGTTTATTGACGCACGATTAATCAATATATTAGCAAATGCCAAATATATACGCGCGGAAGTGAATTACAGATGATTAAATTTCTAAAATTCTAGATACTTATAGACCGGGTAGAGAGAAGTAATTTAATTGCCCGCTGTGGAATATTTATTCGCTTGCAATATATATTTATCGAGGTAAATATATAGCGGACACACGGACGCGGATATGGACTCGTACCAGTGGCGTAGCTAGGATTTTTTCAGCGGGGGGGGGTGGGGGGCCTTACATTTTCGGGGGGGGGGCCACAATATATAATTTTATTGAGATGTGGTTCGAACCTTCTTTCATTGTATTATACTGTTCTAACGGCATTGTTTTTAATTAAAATTTTTTTTTATCAAGCATGAATTTTCAGTGGGGGGGGGCACCTGGGGGGCACAGAAAATTTGTGGGGGCCCCCAGGCCCCTCCGTAGCTACGCCCCTGACACACACACACACGCACACACAACACACACACGCACGCACGCACGCACACACACAAACACACAAAACACACACACGTTGCATGCATGCCTTCACGGCCCGGATTCAACGTATTCTGAAGTACGATGCACTGGAACGGAAATATTAAAAACTATATTATTTTTCACAATTATGTACTGATAGTATATACAATTTTGTAAACAATGTTTTATTAGTTATCATACTCATAATATATATTTTAGATACTTTAGTCAAAACATCAGCTTTAGCTACATTTCTCTTTGAAATTTACAAATTGACATTTTAAAATGATCAGAATTGATTGCTTTCAACATAGCCTGAAAATGCAGGAAATGCCATTTCCAAGCTCTAAATTTCAAAAAAAATTCAGGGGGAGTTCCCCAGACCCCCCGCATCGGCTTCGCGATCGCGGCGTTAGCCATGCGTGCCTGCGGCACACACCATAACCGCCAATCTTGATATTATCACTGGGTGATCCTACATTTTTCTGCAGTAGCACATTTTGGGAGGCCACTACGGCCCTGCCAATGGGGACGTAAAAGAACCACTGAGGGCGGAAAAAAAAACTGGCTGTGACCCTCAGTGCCATTCGGCTAAAGGCTAACTACCTGGCTTTACCCAAGCTAGGTCACACCCCATGACTAGCTATAGCCCTGCGTTATTATCCATGTAACCGTGGGCTACGCAGTAAACTCTGATCCAGATCCAGAGGCTATGTGGGGATCATTTCGCACCAGAGTGCTTTTTTGTGCCATGCAGCTTGTGTTGGATGGCAAGTTCGCAGCAGCAAGTTAAAACCTGATGCCAGACCCACAAAGTTCAGCCATAAAGCTTCAAAGGATGGTATTGGTAGACGAAGGCAAAGCATGCATTGCCTTTGCAAAAAGAAGAAATTTCGAGGCAAATGATTGTTGAAAGAATTTTTATTTTAAGCTTACTACTTTAGCCCTAGAAGTAGAACTAGGTTTTAAGTTTAAAAAACGTGGTTAAAACATGAATCAAATGCGTCGTGGCTTTTCCAAAAGAATAACAACGTAATTTTCTGAATGTAATAGACTAATAGCTAGGCCTATAAACATAAGCTCATAATGATATGGTCTCAAAATATATCGAGAAAATATACACCGATTAATTTCGGTGTTTAGGCGATCATGTACTGCAGCAAACAGAATTCATACTACGGTACCATATTGTTAGCAATAATATAAATCACAATAGGCGTACATTTTTATGTGTACTGCAGGCACACATGACGATGATGATTTAGACGATGATGCCTGCACACATGATGTAGGTCAACCCACCGCAGACTCTCAAGATCAGCAGTCACCGTCAGAGAACCCTGGGGACAGTGGTGAGAACACACTCAGAGACCTGCCTACATGTAGTGCCAGCATTGATTTGCAGAATTAAAACCAATTTAACCATTACAACCATTTTAAGATGGACGGGTGAGGGGTCCATAATTTCCAGTTTTCTAGTAAAAAAACATATGCCATTTCCAAGTTCCCGGTCAATTAAAATCCCAATTACTGGTTACGAGAAAATTATCTAGGAATTTTCCGGATAATTGTTCATATTTAATGTTACTCAGTTTACGTATGTCCATACTATTACCTCGTATGAACTAGATATTCTGGAAGAAGTATAGTTATGGTCCTTCCAGACCGTTTGTCATGGTTCTGCCTGAGAAATTGAGAATAATCAATATACTCGCAATCCAGAGTACATACAATACTATAGTGGTATATATGCGATAGTAGTAGAGGATATACAATTGTAGTCGGATGACTACGTAAAATTGCAGTTCCCGTCTCAAGTTTAATATAGGGACGTAAAAGAACCGCCGCAGACGTAAATTAAACTAGCAGACTCTAGCAGTGATTACTCTCAGTGTCCGTAAAGGCGTCGACCTAATGTAACTAACTTGTGAAAGAGACTTCAACTTTGTATCGATACAGCAGGTTAGCTATATGAAGATGCACTACGTTGCTATTATATCCCGTGTAGGAGACACAGAAAGGTATGACGTCATTACAAAACATAACATAAAAGCTGTAAGTATAGGCGTACCTGGCGTCGTCGCTGTGAAGTAAACAAAAAAACAACCTTTAGTAGAACTGAACAAGATAAAAGCATATATACGTACACACGCACACGCTCATACACACACACACACACACACACACACACACACACACACACATATATATATATCATTATATATATATATATATATATATATTATATATATACTACCTATAATATATAGCACAAGCACAACAATCACCACCTACACACACAGCACACACACACACTCAATCGGGCCACACCACACACACACTGCACACCGCAGCGCACGCACCACGGCAGTCCGCGCACGCACCCCACATACGACGCACGCACTGCACGGCACGCTACGACGCACAGTACCAGCTCACACACGCGCACCTCACCGCACATCGCACGCAACACTCGCACGCGATACCAGCAACGCACCCACACACTCACATACACACTCTCAACACACACACATCACGGCACGCACCACGCACGCATCTCAGCACACACACACACATCACACACACACACACACACAAACATCACACCACATCTCCGATCCACCTACACACACTCAACGATAGAAAGTGCGCGCAGAAAATTGGACCATTGGCCGCGGATAAACAGGTGAAATCAAAGTTGGTCCGGTCGGCCCTGCACAAAAGGACGCGTGGACGTGACTTGTTCAATCTGTGATGTGATGCATGTCAGGCCGTAGCTCTGGTCAAGCGGCAGCTGCACGCCCTAGACTTTTTGAGCAAAAATTTAAAACAATAAGCTTAGGGCTAATAATCTTGCAAGTATACCCATAACGCAACTTTTTGAGGTCCTTATTCGTGCAAGGCTTTGTCATACCACGTCGTGCCACACTATATGGACGTCGATCACAGAGCTGGCGGCCCGTCGCTCATCATTACACCAGTTGAGTCATGCAATTTTGCGCTCACCCCCTCGACAGGAATTTACTCAGCCTACAGCCCTGATGTTTGACTTGATTAGTTTTGTAACAGTAATTTTCCCCCACCACATAACCTTGCAAAATTGTTGCGCTGAACGAGAAAAACGAAAATGTCCTTCGTCAGCAGTGATAATTATCTCTAATTCCACACCTATAGTCAGCATATATATTATTATATTATCATAATATGTGTGATGATATATATATAGTGTGTGTGTGTGTGTGTGTGTGTGTGTGTGTGTGTGTGTGTGTGTGTGTGTGTGTGTGTGTGTGTGTGTGTGTGTGTGTCCGGTCGTCGCGCGTGTGTGTATATATATATATATATATATATATATAGCCAAATAAGACGATATCGGATAACAGCGGCCGGGCTGCTTCGGCCGTCACTATATACCTGTACCATCTCACCTGGTTACGCCGAGCTGATAGCAGATGCACTAGCGTTGACCTCCCCTCACGCACAAAGCCAAACGCGCAGGCTTGACGGATGATCTTTGATCGAGCTCATTGCACAATAGAAAGAAACAGATTGCACTATTAACCCCTTGATAATGTAAAGCGGTTACTAGAAATTAAGTCTAACCTCTCATGTACGAGCGTGTAATCATGATAAGGTAATCAAGAAGTCAAAGCGAATATTTTTAAGCAATTAAAAATAATTCTTCGTCGCTCGCTCATACCCGCGCGCATTGTCTATTCATGAAGGATAACCATTCATTAATTGTAAACCAACTTCAGTGTTCTAAATTAATCAATTTATGCTCATAGACGAAACCGGTTTTACAAGAAAAATCGCAAATAACAATGCGCAAATAGTGCCAATAAAAGAATAATTTGTCAAAACGGGGCTTTTGCCAGATTCAACATTAAATATAACTTTATCTGGTAAAGCATACATTGTAAGCATCGAAGTAATACAGTACAATGTGTCGAGCTAATTGAATAATTTTACATGTACATCGATAATCACACGACGCGACATGTAATAAGTCATGTAGACACACATTATCGTTTAAACATATACACATACGCATATTTGCTGTCTTTTTTTTAAATGAGAACTATATTTGCTACTTTAAACGTGCCACATTGCGATTATACTTATAACAGCTTCTAACCTTACCAAGTAAGGGCAGCGTGTAAAAAATAGCAGACCTCGATAGATTTTAATCTAATATCAATAACCAACGCCAATTATAACGTATGCAATTGAGACGGGCGCAAACGTCGCTCTGTAATGCAGTAGTAAGACCGTGAGAAACGTGTAAGCCCATCTGCGTCGTGTCCGCACAGTTCAGAGTTCCATCCGCGTTGACTATAAAATGCATGGCCGGCGACAGCATCGCTAAGACGAAGGGAGCAGCAGGCAGACGACACTATGGAAGGAGCTAGAGCACGAGCAATGATCCTTCTGGCTTTGTCCATGCTCGTGGCCAAGGGACTCGCGGGTAAGTTTCGATTTCAGCTATAAGTGCAGATGTTTTTGATCACATTGTTCACGTGCTGGTACCACGTGTATCTGAAGCTCAGAAAGACCTAGCTATAAATAAGCCGATTGCAAATTACTTCTGATGGAATCAGAACTCTTTTATATGTAATACGCGTAGTTTCTGAAGACTGTTCCTAGTCTGAAAACTTGCTTCTAAGTCCGAGCGAGAAATTTCGCAATGTAATTCGCGATGATCACAATATATGACGATTAAGAATATACAATATTTAACATTTTACGGCGTTTATAAATATAGGTAAGTAATTCATTTACTTGTCAACGCACGCATGGATAATGTTGGTAAATTTGATTGTGATTAACAAATAGCATACTTGCCGGGCCCAAGGATATATAGGTAACATTTAAGGTCTCCAGTTTTTAGTATGGATATACCTATATAATAATAATACAGTGTACTACTAATAATAATATTAATAATATTAACAGATGATAGTAATAACATTCTGCTTTTCTTTCAGTCCCTCTGACCACAGAGTATGACAACCAGTGTGCGAGAACATGTGTTATTCCAGGTAGGCCCGTACTTCCAATTGTCGCTTTCTTGTCGCGATCGTAGGAAACTTGCTATTAACTAAACTTTGTTTTACCTGACCGCATTAGGGGAACTAGAATGCTGTTGTGTCTTTAATACTGCGTGCGCGCATTTTAATCTTAGCTTTAAATGGGATTTCTAAAATTAGAATACTGGAATTAACAGCTCTAGGAAATGTTAGAAATCCTAGATCTATACCTCGCTGATTATAGTGTTTCTCGCGCGCGCGATTAATAAAATAACAAAAATCTGTAAAAGGCGCATATGTGTACCTACCGTATTCGTTGAATACACTCACACTTGTGCCGAAAATTCAATTTTCATGATGTTACGACACTAAAGTAGATGTAAATTTCAAAATGATGAAAGAAATAGTGACAATTTTAGCGAAAATTATTCGAAGCGAGTTTACTTATCTGACGAGTAGAGCGTACGTGAGGAACAAGAAAGGTTAAATATCGAAATATCAGTGTAAACTACGTGCGTTAATGGTAAGACCACATGTTAATACTTAGAATTCAGAGATTTACTTGTATATTCTGTGATAAGACAACGCTGTTCGTATTCTTGTCGTATTTTTCCTTTTTCGCAGTACGCACAGAAACTTACTTGTACTTGTTTCCCGAATTAGTGTAAATCTGACATACGATGACTGTCATATAGGTAGATTTGTCAAGCGATTTTACGGACGCGAAACAGGGACTCACAACATTTCAGAATGCAATTCCATTCTAGAATTGCAATGCCAATCTACGAGGCTTCTTTTTTTTAAATTGCTGCGCCATATAATTTTGATGAACTTGTTGAACGCATTGCGCTGGTGATATAGATATCGGTGCTGTCACTCAGTTACGTATCTGAGCGGACAATGAGAGTTCAAGAAACAAGTCGCTCCTATCTCTTCTTATCAGAGTAGTGCGTGCAAGGTAATGCCAAAAAGTCCATGCGCGATCATATTTATCGATGATTATTGTTGAAATCTCTGCAGAGATACGCGCATGTCAATCTCCGGCTGCTAGCTGCTAGCAGTCGCCATCGTTTACACATGCCTCCATAATAAGCCGTGTAACCACACTTGACGCCTGACAGGTTTATCAAAAAGTAAACTCAAATTAGGTTATCAGATCAAGGCTAACGATCAAGCTGGGACGAATGCTCTTTAAAGAGTGTTCGGCAAAGGTTGTTGCAATAACCTGGCGAAAAGCAACCTCGGTTACGAAATCGTAAGGTCAAAAGGTCACCTGCACGATATTGACTACGTGTGTAATATAATAACAATATACGGATCTCGCGGTGATAATCTTGATGCAATCACTAATGTGTCATGTGAGTCATTTGTCTATTTGCATTACGGTAATGGTTGATAAAGTATCCTAATCCTAAAGTAGGTGAAACATTGAGCCTACACACACGCGCGCGCGCACGCACTCACGCACGTATGCACGCACGCACGCACGCACGTACGCACGCACGCGCCCGCGCGCGCACACACACATACACACACACACACACACACACACACACACACACACACACACACACACACACATTGGAATCGTTAAATTCTTTACTTTTTTTTCAGATGAACCCAACTTTAGATATGCGCCTGGCACGACATACGTGTACAGGTACGAGGCAAGCACCTTGACGACATTGCAAGGTGCAATAGATGAAGGCAGTGGATTGCATATAGAAGCCACTGCCGAATTCCAGGTTTTGACCCCCTGTGACATGGTCGTGAAGGTGAGCATATATATACCCAATATGACATATATATATATATATAATATAAATGAATAAATAAATGAATAATTAAATAAATAAATAAATAAATATATATATATATATATATATAGAGAGAGAGAGAGATAGATAGATAGATAGATAGATAGATAGATAGATGGATAGAAAGATATATATATATATATATATATATAGATAGATAGATAGATAGATAGATAGAATAGATAGATAGATAGATAGATAGATAGATAGATAGATAGATAGATAGAATAGATAGATAGATAGATAGATAGATAGATAGATAGATAGATAGATAGATAGATAGATAGATAGATCGATAGATAGATAGATAGATAGATAAATATATGTGTGAAGTAATTTGTAAAAAAGGTATAAAAGACCTATTGATGTTGTTCTTTGAAGTCGCGTAAAAATATAATATTTCATTCTTTTTTAACGCGCAATTATTTAAACCGTGCTTTTCTTTGCTTCCTTAGTTGAAGGATGTGTCACTGTACGAAACGGACCCGCAAGATCTCGACAGGAAAATGCTATCCAGTGGGACGAGGGAGTTTAAACAGGCTTTAGAAGAGGAGCAGCTTCGCTTCGCCTTCCAGAACGGCCGTATTGACGACATCTGCCCCACTGCCGGTGAAAAGACCTGGGCGTTGAACATCAAGCGCGGTATTCTCTCGGCTTTCCAGAACTCGATGAGCAATCTGAATGAGGACAGTCACGTGACCGAGGTGGGTGCCCGCTATAGATATATATATAAGAAATAATAGATATAAAGTAGAAAGAATAATAAGAGAATGCGGCGTTTTGGACACGCGTTTAACCTCGTGGCCGTCTGTACAATTGAGAAATTGTGCTGCAGTACAATAACTAATTCGTACTTATACGGTGTTGTATATTGGCACATATATGTAAACAATATATGAACATGAATTGTTTCAGTGTTGTTGTTGGTGTTGTTGTCGATGATAACAATTTAACATGAGTTTGATCAGAGCTAGGATACTAGAACTCAGCAGGCAGCTTTCTCCAAGCTGAAGATTCTTTATTGAGATTTTATTATTTCATAGTCTATGCCTTCTATGTTCGTCTCTAGATGGACGTAGCTGGTAACTGTGAGGCACACTACACAGTTGAAGAGAAGTATTGGGATCGTACTACGATCAACAAGACCAAGCAACTCACAGGCTGCACAGAACGCCATGGTCAGTTGACCTCCATCCAGACTAGCCCATACTACGTGGACTCGGTAAGTTTTCATTCAGCGCTGATATTAACACAAACTTATTGACTGAAATGAACTTGGTTGGAGCCGAATTTTCACGAGTTAGAAGATAACGTAGTGGAATAGCATCGTTGTAAACACCTGCTATTTTATCGACTTCGAATGAAATTGTCCGGCGATACATTAATTCTTACTTGACCAGTGAAAAGATGACCTGAACTTACAGTGGTGGACGCATTACTGAGCTGCGCTTACAGAAAATCATTCGTTATTCTTCGTAGGATATCCAGTCGCTGCCTTTGATCGACAGCTCGCACCACTGCCAGCAGATCATCAATAACAAAATCCTGAACAGGGCTTACTGCAAGGAAAGTCACCTATTCAAGCCTTTCAGCAAGGACCAGGCAGGAGCTGTTACTACCACCAAGCAGACGCTGACCTATATGGAATCCTACATTGGTGCCCAGAGTCGCATGGGTAAGCTAAATCGACCTCTCTCGTGTGAAGAGCTCCAACGAGATATTCGTATATTCCAGTCACCTACACCCTCTCCCAAACTCTAGCTACCTTGTTAAGCATTTCCATTATATATGGACCAGTCCGTCATTTAACAGTGAGTGATAGACAGCATTTCTGTGCTCACCCTTTACGTGGCATCAAAGCTACAACGCGACTGAATTCCTGATGCGTTATATTTTATCAGCATTGTCTATTAACTTGTTTAACTAATATGTTACCTCCAAAATGTAATTAAATAAAGTAATTTGAATGGAATTGAATGGAATTGAATTGAATTTTGTCCGGGTGATCTATTGTTGATCTTGCATTTCCCGTGATCGGTGGTGAGTGACGCATAGTCAATGACTCTTTTGCAGACTACATCACTCATCGCACTACGATGCTGTTCGATCACAAGTACAACGGCGAGCAGAACAAGAACTACGAGAACGAGGCTGAGATGGTGCTGCGTGAAATCTGCGGGAAGGCAGGCGATGACATCCGTCCTGAGACTCCGCACATGTTTACTAGCCTTGTCTACAAGCTGCGAGAACTCAGCGCCGACCGTCTACGCTCCATCTACGGACGCATCGACAACATCTGCCCTGGACACGCCAAAGCAAAGTACGCATAGCAGCTAAGTATAGCAAAGTGTACAATATATACGATATAGATGCTATACATACAATATATACGATATAGATACTATCAAGAGCGTATAAAGAAGCTTCTTTATACGCTCTTGATACTATATATACAATATATGCATCTACGGACGCATAGACAACATCTGCCCCGGACACGCTAAAGTAAAGTACACCTACAATATATAGCCGTGTATAATATATAACACGCGTACAATATATAGCCGTGTATAATATATAGCACGCGTACAATATTTAGCCCGCGTACAATATATAGCCATGTATAATATATAACACGCCTACAATATATAGCCGTGTATAATATATAGCACGCGTACAATATATAGCCATGTATAATATATAACACGCCTACAATATATAGCCGTGTATAATATATAGCCGTGTATAATATATAGCACGCGTACAATATATAGCCGTTTATAATATATAACACGCGTGCAATATATAGCCGTGTATAATATATAACACGCCTACAATATATAGCCGTGTATAATATATAACACGCCTACAATATATAGCCGTGTATAATATGTAGCACGCGTACAATATATAGCCGTGTATAATATATAACACGCCTACAATATATAGCCGTGTATAATATATAGCCGTGTAAAATATATAGCACGCGTACAATATATAGCCGTGTATAATATGTAGCACGCGTCCAATATATAGCCCGCGTACAACATATAGCCGTGTATAATATGTAGCACGCGTCCAATATATAGCCCGCGTACAATATATAGCCCGCGTATAATATTATTATATAGCACGCGTATAACGCCTTCAAATTATTGAGCGACAGATATATTCATAGTTGTAATATGGTTAATACTGCGCAAGTTTACTTGCGATAAAGTAAATTTAATTTTTCATTCAGCTAAGTTGCTGCTGCGTTTCGTGGTTACGAACTAATTTATTGTTGTGCTATCCGGGCTACATTAATTGTATATTCATGATTACGTTATGCATCGCAGGCAATTCTTCTTGGACGCTATCCCGATGGTTGGAACTACAGGATCAGTGAGTATGATTCGAGAACTCATCAGCAGTGGCCAGGTAACTGGTGTTGAGGCTGAAATGTGGCTCACCTCTCTCGCATTCCTGAAGACGATCAACAAGAACATGATCTTGGAAATCACGGTAAGTTAAACCAAGTATAGTCACTTCTAGTCCACGAAATTTTGTAACGTTGTTCATAATCAACGTGAAATCCGATTCCATCAGCCGATCATTGTAAAATATCTATATTTCATCGATCTCTCGCACGACGTAACGACTGTAAAGCTCAAGGGTATTCTACTCACTTCTAAATAGGCTAATATGTAATAGGAAGCATCACCTAATGGCAGTCGTCTCTTTTACAGCCACTGTTGACCAACAGGGCTGACCGCAAGACCGTTCTCTCCATCACATCAATGGTGCACAGCTATTGCAAGGTTAACACAGCGTGCGCAGAGGAAAGTGAAGTGCAGACCGTCATCAGTGCCCTAGAGGGAATGATCAACTCCCGCTGCATGGTCCGCTCCCGCCAGGAGAGTGACCAGGTGAGCACCACGACGCCATCTTACAATACTCAGTCATCGTAATTTTTTCAATTGCACAGCTGCTCACCTGACCGCAGCGGGTATACATATTTTCTGCAATGTACAAGTTCGCGGGGATGTATTACGTCACATTTCGATGATTCTCTGTAGATACGTGATTTTGCATTCTTAAAAAGCCACCAAATACGCGTTCACTGAACGAAATCGCATTCAATTTCGCCTGTTTAATTCTGTTTTCATTAGACTTATGTAACGTAGATAATATCGATGCAGACTGTTAACCGACGGTTGTTTATTTATAGATCGTCATGGCCCTGAAGGGTCTTGGCAACATGGGTCGCGTCATCTCCTCTCTGCCAACCATCAAGAGATGCTTCCAAGAGTCCAGCAACCCCATTGATGTTCGTCTAGCCGCGATCGAAGCATTCCGTCGTCTGCCCTGCACTACTAACGTGAGTATGAGCATCGAAACCAGTACTATCGAAACATGAATTCATTTCATTCGAGAAATGCGCATAGGGTTACAGTGAGAAGAGGGCACCACCCCGCTGGATAAGCCATCTACATTTTGCACCGTTTTGTACCTGTAGCGCGATGAACTGCTAGCCACCTATGTATCACCTGATGAAGATACCGAGGTACGCATCGCTTCCTACCTGTCAGTCATGGCCTGCCCCACCCCTGATACCATCACCAAGATCAAGGAAACACTGCAAAAGGAGGAGGTTAACCAGGGTAAGCATACATATCTGCTCATTTATTGCATTCATATGTAAAGCTTACATTCCAACTGAATTTTCTTCCCCAATGTTAGTAACAACAACAACAGCAGCAGCAGCAGCAGCAGCAACAGCAACAGCAGCAGCAGCAGCAGCAGCAGCAGCAGTATAGCAGCAGCAGTAGCAGCAATAACAACAACAGCAGCAGAAACAGCAACAGTAACAGTAGCAGCAGCAGCAACAACAACAACAACAACAGCAACAACAACAACAACAACAACAGCAACAACAACAACAGCAGTAGCAGCAGTAGCAACAACAACTGCAGCAGCAGTAGTATGCACTAGATGAGTGTTCTGCTGATTCATTCATTATTAATTTGCAGTCGGGTCGTTCGTCTGGACCCATCTCAGCAACCTCAAGGAGACGTCTGACCCCATGAAGCGAGAAATCCGCGAGATTCTCGAGGACCACACCCTTCAGGAGACGTTCAACAAGGACTCCCGCAAGTTCTCCCGCTTCTACGAAGGCTCTCTCTTCTCTGAGATGCTCAACACTGGAGCCGTCGCAGAGGGCAGCATTGTCTTCTCACCCGAGTCATACATCCCACGCTCTGGAAAGTTCAACATGACCGTGGACCTCTTCGGCAACTCCATCAATCTGTTTGAGGTAGATGGCAGCACCATGCGCTCGTTATTAGCATTAGCGTTAGAATTGGCATCCTTGGCGTTGTTTATAGGTATTTTGACAGTGTTTACGTATTATTTAATTTTCACATTCAAGCATGCGTGCAATTAAGATATGCCAGCAACTACTTGCCATAATTGCACTCATAGAAGTTTTTAAGCGAATATAAAACAGAATTTGTATACGCCAAAACACGTTGAGTGGTAATGATATACATTTAACCATTTATATTAATTATTGAACATTATTAATTGATGTCGCAATACTAGATTGGTGGTCGTCTCCAAGGCATGGAGTTCTTGCTCGAGAAGTTCTTCGGACCTAACGGCTACTTCCCAGAAGAGAGAGTGACCAACCTGTTGGAGGGCCGCCAGAAGAAAACCCCAGTGTCGAAAGTTCACAACCAGGTAAGCATCTCTGCGCGACGATACCTGTACGGAACATGTACAGTGGGATGGGGGGATTGTTCCAGAAGTTGCATGGAAAGCTGCTAAAATGTCGACATTTGTAGATCATGTCGGCCGACATAGACATTGATATAGAATAAAATCACAGGTTATTGTCGGGATGTATAGTATTTATTTAAAATCCTGGTAGTACGCGAACGTACATACGCGTACGTGAAGAATTATCGCAGATAGGCCTACGCCATATATATATTTTCGATTATTATTTTATTATCGAATTATTTATAATATTAATTTCGATTGGCTTAGTTTGGTCTGGACATGGACGAGCCTCAGGGTAACGCCTACGTTAAGATCTTCGGCAATGAGCTGCGCTATTGGGACTTCCACGGTATGGAAGAGCTCCTTACCATGAAGGACACCCTCAACTACATGGACCTCATTCTGGAATTGTCAAAGGTTAGCGCATAATTAATCCACGTTGTGCGTTGTTTATAGAAATATTATTATAATATTATTATTACATTATTATTATTAGTATTATAATATTATTATTATTATTGTGAACTACATGGACCTCATTTTGGAATTGTCAAAGATTAGGTCACATAATTAATCCACGAATGTTGTGTGTTGTTTATAGAAATATTGAAGCCACATGAATCTTCACTATATTCTCTCCTACTTCATCTAATATATAAATAAACACTCGCGTGTTAAGTCTTAGTATTCCAAGCTGAAAACAAACGCATGGCTTCTGTTACACAGGAACAGAACTTTGAGCTGACAAAGAGTGGCATCTTCCTGGACACATCTCTGATCGTACCGACACTGACCGGTCTGCCAATGAACCTGAGCGTCAACGGAAGTCTGTCGATGAACATCAAGGTCAACGGCAAGATGGACATCCGTCAGATCGTTGCCTCCCCACGTAGCTGCGACGTCCACGGAGAAATCAAGCCAAGGTGAGTGTTTCCAGTCGTAAAGTTTCGCGTGTTTCAACAAGCGTGAGTGAAAGGTTTGTGTTGTGTTTATATCTGAGATGTGGATGACAACCATGCACTTACGCGAATATTGTTTTGTATGGGCTATGTCAACCTCGTAAGACGTCTAGCATTCCCCTACAAAGTCATGATATTTTAAACTCAATCAGTCACTGATAAACATCAGCTTGCCGTCAGTAAAAACTAGGAGACGAAGCGAAACCAGAAAATCTACAGCAAAACGTCCGAGTGATACTTGGTCTCTTGTAGAGATTGGACAGTGATTGCTAGCTTTTGTAATTTACACGTATTTTCCCGCCACGCAGCGCTGCCATCGAGGTGAGCTCAGTGATGAGCGTAGACGGCTTCGTCACCAGCACCGGACTGAAGATGGTGTCGACACTGCACTCCTCTACCGCCGCCAAGGGCAAGCTGCAGATGGAAGACGGAGAGACATTCAAGCTGAACATTGACATTCCCAACGAGAAGATGGAGCTGTTCAGCGTAGAGTGAGTAGTGTTCTTATCAAGGATTTTCGGCTTGAAATGTTTCAGTTTGTGCATATGTAGCAATACACACACACGCACACACACGCGCGCGCGCGCACACATACACGCACACGCACACGCACACGCACACGCACACGCGCACACGCACACACACACACACACACACACACACACGCACGCACACGCACACACGCACACGTAAACGCACACGCACACACGCAAACGTACACGCACACGTACACGCACACGCACACACACACACACACACACACACACACACACACACACACACACACACACATAAATATATATATATATATATATATATATATATATATATATATATATACGTACTAACTTACGTTACGTTACGTAACGTTCGTTCGTGAC